CTCCATTTTCACTTTGAGAACCTGGTCAAGTTCCTGGAGGTAAATTTCATAAAACTGTGGAAACCCCCCCTATGACTGGGTACTTGGAATTTTTAACTCTCTGTCTTGCCCACACCTGGCTTCCAGAAATGTATCAGTTACCGGTCAGGTATTCCTACCCAGTACTGGTTCCTGTTGAGAGAGGTATCTGCTCAGGCAAACTGTGGTTCTCTGGATTCATCTGTCTCTCCAGTGTCAGGGGCAGTGGTTTGCCCTGTGACCTCACTTCTCTGCCAGATCTAAGAAGAGTGGTTGAGTTTCCAGTTTGTTCAGCTTTTTACTTATTGTTAGGATGCAGTGACAACTTCCAAGCTCCTACATGCCAGACTAGAGACCTAAGTCTTTGCTTGTGTTTTAACGTTTATTTTTCAAAATTTTGGTCTGGATTCCTGGGATTACCCCTCTGCCTGCATAGCTTAGTGTTGACCCAAGTGACTGACTTAGAAAGAGGTTGTCTTCCATCGTCTATCGATTGATCTGTATGTAGATGGGGGTGTGCATTCAAACTCTGCTGCATTTCAAGTCTCCTTTGCTTATTATTTTCCACATCTTCCCTGCACATGTATGTCATTTCCCAGCAGGCTGGGGGCTTATGTGGCCTTTTCTTGGCTCTCTCATTTCCAGGTTCTTCCTGTTAACATTTCTGAGCGGCCTCGAACTCCTACAAACCAGCACAGCAACTTCAGGCTACCAAATACGCAGGTTTTCCCTCATTTTTTTTGAGGTTGCCACTTTTACCTGATGCATCTGTGGGGTTTTGCCCCTTGCTCTGAATGGAGTCTGATGCCTCTGCCACAAAGCTGCTGGTTCTCTCAGCCCCATTCTGATAAAATTGCTCTTCTCGTGGACTGAGCTGGGGCCGTGAGTGGGTAGGAGCAGCCTCAGGCCAAAAGGCCAAGAGGACTCTCTCTTTACCCAAGACTCTAGCAGTTTTTCAAGAATGCTTTGCAATTTGTTGTCTGCTTATTTATTTCCAGTGCCCTCAAATGATTGTTTTTGACCATTTTATTTAATTTGTGTGTGTGTGTGTGTGTGTGTTGAAAGGATCCACAGACCTCTTCACAAACGCCAAGCTGGAAGTCTCTACCTTTGTTTACATTGTGATGTACATTTTGATGCAGTTTCACCTACTCTGCGAATTTGTCATGTTTATATATATATACACATATATAAAAGTGTATGTAACTATAAACAATAGTATTTTTTATGTCCTAAAAATGCAAGGTATTTTCTCCTTAATACTGTTGTTTTTAACCCTTTTTATTTATAAAGTCTAATTCTTTTAAAGACCGCAGAATTCCCTCTCACTCATATACCAAATATTCCTTTCACTCATTGATAAACATTTAGGTTGTTTCTAATTTTTTTTGTAATTACAAACAGTGCCACATTGAACATCCTTATACATGTTTCCTTTTGATTTTACTAGGTATTATCATGTTGTTTTGCAAATTTCATATCAATTTATACTATCACACCCACCGTCTATGAATGAGCAGAACTGTTTTCCCATAATCTGGCAAATGCTAGAGATTTTCATATTTAAAAAATTTTTACAGAGGATGGGTGAAAACTTGATTTTAAAGGTACGTATAGTTTTAAGATGTGTAACATTCTGTCAAATTACAGTTCAGAGAGTTTGTATCAAATTGCTCTCTCATCCAAGTACTAACCAGGCCCCACCACGGCTCAATCCTAAATGTTATCATTTTTTTGCAGTGTTGACAATCTAATAGAAACTTGGTATCCTTGCTGTTTTATATTTCTTCATTATTACTATGATTGAAACTTTTCATGTGATTATTGGCCATTGTTTTCTTTATGTAATGCTTAGTCTTATTTTTTTCCCTATTTTTCTATTGTAAATGGAAATTTTAGCTCTTACATTTAAGACAATGATCCATTTTGAGTTAATGTTTGTGTATGTTTATGAAAGTGGGGTTTTTTTATTCTTTTTTCTTTTGGCATGCGAATACCATTGTTCCAACTGTTCCAAAACCACTGTTGAAAAGACTATTCTTTCCACACTGAACTATCTTAGCATCTTTGCCAAAAATTGGCCATATTTATACAGGTCTATTTCTGGACTCTCTATTGTGTTCCAGTGACTCTGAACTCTCCTGATTACTGTTGCTTTATAATAAATCTTAAATCAGGTAGTATGATTTCTCCAATTATATTATTTTTCAAAATTGTTTCAGCTGTTCTAATTTCTTTGCATTTCTATATAAATTTTAGAGTCAGCTTGTCTGTATTTACAAAAATTCCTGCTGGGATTTTGATTGTTAATTTGTGTTAAATCAATACATCAATTTTTATAAAAATGACAACTTTACTGTATGTCATCCAATCTATGAATACATTATGTCTCCATTTATTTAGGCCATCTCTGATTTCTTTGATGAGGGTTTTGTAGTTTTCAGCACCCAGATAGTGTACATATTTTGTTAGATTTACACCTATCTGTTCCATTTGGGAAGAGGTGGCTATTGTAAGTTGTATTTCTAAAAATTTCAGTTTCCAGTTGTACACTGTTAATATATAGAAATATGACTGGGTTTTGTCTGTTGACCTTATATTCTGTGATCTTGCTAACCTTAAACTCAGTTATTAGTTCTAGGAGTTTTGTAGATTTCTTGGAATTTTCAACAGAAACAGCTGTATTGTTGCAAATGAGGACCATTTTCTTTCTTTTCAGCTGTATGTCTCAGGGGCGCCTGCCTGGCTCAGTCGGTAGAGCATGTGACTGTTGATCTTGGGGTCATGAATTCAAGCCCCACATTGGGTGTAGAGATAAATTTAAAAACAAGATCAATCAAGCTGTATGTCTTTTTCTTGCCTACTGCACTGGCTAGGACTTCCAGTATTATGTTGACTGAAAGAAGTGAGAATGAACATCCTTGCCTTGTTCCTGATCTTAAGAGCAAAAAACTCACTCTTTCACCATTAAGCATGATGTTAGCTGTATTTCTTTGCACATGCCTTTTATCAGATTGAGGAAGTTCCCCTTCCATCATGAAAGGATGTTGCATTTTGTCACATGCTTCTTCTGCATCAGTTGATAAGATTATGTGCTTTTCATCTCTGGACTATTAATATGGTAGAGTACATTCATTCAGCTTTAAATACTGCACCAGCCTGATATTCTCAAGAAAAAAGCTCCCCTTGATCATGGTGTATTATTCATTTTTATACATTGTTATATATTTTCTTGAGGATTTTTTGCATTTATGTGCATGAAGGGCATTGTTTTATAGTTGTGTTTTGTTTTTTTCTTGTAGTGTCTTTGCCCAGTTTTGGTATCAGGGTGCTGCTAGCCTCATAAAATGGGTTGGGAAATGTTCCCTCCTTTTCAATTTTCCAGAAAAGATTATGTAGGATGGGTGTTAATCCTTCTTTAAATGTTAAGTAGAATTACCCAGTGACATCATTTGGACGTTGATATTTCTTTCTCAGAAAGTTAACTACAAATTTTTTTTTTTTAATAAGTAAGGGCCTATTTGAGTTATCTGTTCATTTTGGATTACACTGTTTGTTTTTCATTTTATTTATGGTATTTTGTGACAGACATAAGTTTTAGATCTTTTTATAATTAAACCTATCAACCTCTTCTTTTCTAGTATAACTTCATGTGCTCAGAAAGTTCTTCTTTCCTCCAATTTTTAATTTTAGGAATTTTGATTCCAGTGTTGAATTTCCTTCTGGATAATTTTCAGTTTTGATGTTAAAATGTGATCCATTTGGAATTTAGCGAATGATAGTAGGTGAAGATCCAAATCTTCTTTAAAGTTAAAAATTAGTATGCAAGAAAAGAACAAGGTGGCCTTAGAATCTCCCAACTCTAGAAGCATAAAATTTTCTTATATGAACAAAATTTTTACATACTCACATAAAGACTAAACATGTTATAACCATGAAGACTATTTAAAAAAAAATTCAAACATATAGATGGAGTACAAATACTGTGAATATACACAAGAAAATTTTTTAAAGAAGCAAGATGACTAGCTAGAAAACACAGAATCAGGAAGTCTTCAATGAACATTTATGCTAAAGAAAACAATAATAAAAATATCAAATAACTTCTGAAAACTGAACAAAATTGTTTAATGATATGGGAAAATAGAAGAGTAGAAAAAAGTAGGATACAAAACTTTCCCTATAATTCTCTCTTCCTCTTCCTCTCTCTCTCTCTTTCATATATGACTAGAAAATAATGTACACCTAAATGGATTCCTTTTATAAGCAGAGAAAATCAACATTTTTAAATGTTTAAATCATATTCTTCACAAATCCCAAATTCCTCCTGATGGGCCACTGAATGCATTAGTGTCCATTAATCTGATCCAGCAGCTGAAAAGGGCATGCAGTCCTTCCTCACCAGTTCTTTTGTGTCTCTCCCAAAGCTACTCACTTCCCAAATGATGACCTTGCCTGAGAAAGGACTATTGCTGATGGGTTAATTCATGCCTTGGTTTTCCTCCAGAACCCCCCAGTACCTCACTTTTGAGTATAGGTCATGAAAATTCTAACTGCTACAAACATTCTCTCTTGTCAGCCAGAGGAAAAGTCAAGGAGGTTGAGAATGGAGGAGGAGGGGAGGAGGAGCCAATGTTATGTCTTTTATCACTGGATTTCCTCATCAACGGATACACCACAGGTCACAGTCATAGCGTGTATGAGCTCTCTACTCTTTATGCAGGTGAATTCTGCTGAGGTTCTAAGGGAATAAAGGAAATAGAAATCAGATGATTTTATTGGTTTTGATGTTCCAACTAATTTGCGGAGATATTGTGCTTAAATTCATGTGTAAATGATATTGTACAAAATGGCGTCCAGTCTAATTTTTCCATCACAGTCATGAATAGCTGATTATAATCCATCCATATTGATAGACCATTGCCAGTGTGCTTCCCTCCCATGGGAAATGATGATAACTGCAAGCTACCCCCTCTACCTACCCCTGTGTTGGGCCTCTCCAGACATGGCATGAGCCTTGGCTAGTAATGCGCTTGCCTCTGCAGTTTGGGGGCTGACTTCGGTGAACAAAGAAACACAGATAGAATAGGCCTGGAATAGAGAAAAACAGATCAAGTAAGTACCCAAATGACAGTGTTTCACTGAGGATTTTCTAATCGTTCTCATGAAATTGCTGGTTGAGGGCTGTATGTACCTAATCATGGAGTTACAAGAGAGATGAGTTTGAGTCCTAGCTACTTCCTAGCTGTGAGTCTTGAGCAAGTCACTTCACCTTCACTTGTAGAAGAAATATACAGCTTCCATTGATTAGGGTTTGGAAAAGATTAAATGAGATGATACATGCAGAGCACTGGGCATACATAGTACCATCACATGGTAAGTCCTCAATAAATATTAGCCATTATTATTTTTTTAAGTTTCATAGCAAAATTACAATCACAACTTTAGCTCAGCCCCTCAAAGGTTCATTATCAAAGGAAATCCAGGGGAGTTGAGCATGGATCCTCAAGCCACACTGCCTGGGTTCCTATCACAGCTCAGCTACTTATGACATCAGGCAAGTCACTAACTTCTTCAAATATAAAATAGGAATTTCAGAAAAGACTATTGCAAACAGTTGCTGTAACGATTAAATGCATTAATACATGTAAAGTGTTTAGAATACCACCTAGAATGTCATAAGCATGAGAGAAGTGAAGATTTTATTACTATTATCATTCGCACTAAAATGGAAGGGGAAAAAAAAGAGAAACCATCTGGTCCACACCCACCAGCAAGAAAAAAATCACCATGCTTCACAGTTCACAGGTCAAACACCATGAGGTATTTCAAGGAGCTCCAGCGATTATCAGACAACCCTGTGGAGCTAACACAGTTCAGAGTTGTTAAGCCCCCAGGCTCTGGGGGCTCAAATTTTCTAAGTTCAAATCCCTGCTCTCCTACTTCTTAGCTAACACTTCAGCTGAATTAGTTGTGACTCTTTATGCTTCGGTTTCCTCACCCGTAAAATGAGATAAAATAATAATAATGCCTCCACGGCATAGGGTTGTTGCTTGGATGAAATAACTACATCCTCAAGTGCACACAGTAAAAGCATTCCATAAATGTTAACTATTATTTGTTGTTGGGAAACACTGGTTTTATATTGATTTATCTATTCTGATCTGACCACTGCTTACACAAAGTCTTGGATACAAAAACCAAACAGCTTTCCCTGTAAGCAGTGGACTCCCTGCTTACAGAGCAGCATCCCCTAACATTTTTCCACTGTATGATTCTAATAACTGGATCGTGGGATTATCTGCAATGCCTTTGCTATAGTATCAGCCTGTTTTCACATATACTGTTGAATTGCATTGCACGTGCAATAGCAACAAAATCAGCTATTTTGATCCACTTTTGACTTTGGGAGATACCTGAAGCCACAAGACGGTTCTCATTTGAGGAGAGAAAAGGTCAATTCAACAAGCAGTTTCAAGGGAAGTTCCAAGTACGTGATAGGTAAAAATGCCCTACACTGTTTTCATTATAATAGACTCAACATTCCTTCCTGTTTTGTTTTGTCTTCCCCTGGGCATTTGTCAAATTAGTTACCTCCAAGTGAAACATGCTTTTGTCAGTTTAAGTTTAGACTTGTTGATACAAACAGCTAGGCTGGCCTAGAGGACAAATGACAGCATTACACCAAAATATCATGATTTTTTTCATTTAAAAAAAAGCCCTTTGTGTTTGCTAAAGACTTAAGTTTGGTTGCCCCTATGGCTTTTTTCCCTGGAGCAGACTCACTTGGTTACCTCTTCCTAGCACCCACAGAAATGAGCGGAGGCCTTGTGGCGGGGCCGCACAAAATTTGGTCTCAGATCAGGTCAAAGAGCAGAGACACCCACCATGAGTCAGTGTTCTCTACCCATGTTGTTTAAGGTTGAGGAAGGGCTCTTGTGTGGATCTGGCAGGAAATCCATCCTATCACCTCATTCTTCTGAAAACCCCAAGGATCCCTGGCCCTGGGAATATGGCCTGGGGCCAAATATGGCCTCTAGGCTAGGGCTCCAGCCAACGCACCAACCTGCTGCAAGTACTGGATGGCCCGATCATGGTTCCTTCTCAGCTGCTCAATCTGAGCAATTTCCTCATATAGACTGACCAGATCCAAAGTCTTATCACCCTTAGCAGCAATAACATCGCCAATTGCCTTTTCAAAGTATGCCAGAGCGAGGTTCAATCTGTGGATAGCCAAGGAGGCCCTATAAGAAGAAGGACAAAGATGCAAAGTCAGAGAGGCGCCTTACTTGTGCAGACAGAAAAGGAACTGATTCTAAGAACAAAATAATTTGGCCTTCATAGGCCAATCACCTCAGTGGCTAGCTAAAAAATCCAGTCTTGCTATAAACAAGCTCCTATTAACCTGCATTTCACCTACCAGATTCCACTGACTACCATTTACTTCCATTAATATAGCACGCTGTAGTCTAATTTTATTTAAAAAGCAAATGGAAAAAATGGCTTCCAGCAATTCACAAGGTGGGATAATTTACCCATAAACACAGACTTTCTAGAATCAAAATAAATTTTTATTACTTCCGGATCCCTCTCTTTCAGACCAATGCAAAGTTATTGCTTTGTCTTATTTGATTTAGTTTAGTTTATTCCTCCTCAGTTAAAAATGAGAGAGGAAAGAGAAAACAATGTAAATACCCCTTCCAAAAGGCAGTGGTTAAGTAAATTATGACAAGTGATACAATAAAATACTTCAGACTTTAAAAATCATGCTTCCTTTTTAGACTAAATAATATGGGGAAAAATTAAAAGTGTGCTAAGCTTAAAAAAGTGATACAACTGTACTTAAAATGGACCCCGACAGATCCATCTTCCTATCCATCTATGTATCTTTATCCAACTAAAATGTGTATCTATCTATCTATATCTATATTTAACTAAAATGTCCATAGCAGTTATGTTTGGGGGGTGAAATTAAAACTAACTTTTATTTTCTTCTTCATATCTGTATTTTCAAATCTTCGAAAACAAAATATAATTCTTAAAAATGAGAATAAAATAGCATCCCATTCAGGTTTATCCCTCTAGAGACAGTAAGATACAAGGAGAAGAACATGGTAGTTCAAAGCCGTTTCTCACAAGTTATTGGCTTTACAGTCAAACTCTAATAGCCTATATTTCCTTCCAAATAAAACAAGGGTAAGAATACCTACTTTACAAGGTTGTTGTGAAGATTCGATTAAAATTTATACATGAAATCACTTAACATACAGTGGATATACAATCACTATCACTCCCCCTCACCTCTTGCTTCCATCTTTGTATTCCCAAATTGAAAAAAAAAATATGTGTGTATAAAATTATTTTAGATAAGGCATTCTACAAGTTACAGTTTAACAATCAAAAGAGTACTGGCCCATTATCTGACAATTCTTTACCAAAACATTTTGATCAATCAGACCACTATTGCCCTTGACCATAATAGTAAAGGTTACAGAATGAAAATGCCTCTCATCAAGAGCCTGTAGGGAGATATCAGCCAAGTTGCCTGGCCTACACAATCACACTTTATCTTCCCCCACCTTTAAAACGAGAAAAGGGATTTGCCCTTACTAGATATTTGTTCATTATGAAATGTAACTCGATGTGGTACAGAAGGTGAGCTATGAGTTCAGATGCCCCATCTACGTGTTGGCTCTTCCACTTACTCTTTCTGTGCCTTAATTTTCTTATCTGTGAAATGAAAATAAAAATATCTACCTCATAGGCTTGTAATAGAGGATTGAATTAAATAAATTATGTGAAGCACTTAGACTAGTGTCTCGGATATAGTTATACCTAGTAAATGTTCCAACACTTAGAACAGTGCACGTACAAAATAGATACTAGATAAATACTGAAGAATGAATGAATGAAATATATACTAGAATTTATTCTGAAAAAGGAACAAGGCTGTCTTTCACATAAGGCACAAAAACCTTAGCCACTGACCCATGTGACAGCAACAGACATTCACTAGACTCTAATTTATGGGCCTGTGGACTTACATCCATCGTTAGATTTAGCTCTGGGCATTCCAATACCTCCCCACCATTTCCCATTTGACTTCTAGATTCATGGTTAGAGCAGGCAGACATGACTCGTGTACTTCACTTAATTACCCTTCAGTCCCCTTTCTTACCATGTCAAGTGCTTACAGTTTTGGAAACAGATTGCTTTCAAGGATCTGAAGATATTTTATAAAAGCCTAGGGAATAGTAAACCTTTTATTATTCTTTTTTTCTTCCAATAATCTGATGGGCCCAAGAGTATGTAAATATCGTGATTCTCTCTGAGGATACCTAACTCAGCTGCAAAACAGCTAAGGCTTGTTCTGGCTTGAATAAATCCCATGTAATTGGTTTCCATATGGAACAGAACTTTCCTTAAAAATGCACATGCTGTGCATAGCTTCCATGGGCCTCCAATAAACGGTCTTCACATAGTGTTCTTTCCTTGTCTTTTAAGATATCATACTTAATGACAGAAGTGGGTGGCGATTCAGAAAAAGACATAATTTGAGAGTAAGTGTGAGAGGCAGCATAGGGCTAGGAGTCCGTGAGTTCAGACCACGGATCCAACACTTAAAGCTTGTCACCGTGGACGGTTTGTTTAATCTCAGCCTAGCTTTCCCTGCCCTCTGTCTAATGAGACTCTAACTGTGCCAACTACCTCAGTGGTGTTTTAGGATTAAAGGGTACCACACACAAAGCTCAGACCATGGGGTGTGCATTTGGGAAACCCAAGCCTCTTTTACATCATTTGAGGCTTGGGGTTTTTTTTTTGCCATGAGTATTTTTTCTCCCCTTAAATAAAGAGCACACAGAACAATCATGTAATTCCAGGCCTCATTCACAAAGCCTAAGCTTCTCAAAGCCCAGATCTTACCTGCCTAAAGCAATGGTCAGGTCTTTCTCCGAGACTTGGGATTTGCGAACACTTCCCTTAAATAATTCTTTCAGCTCCTTCATGTTTCTCTCTGCCTTCTGCAGGTTGAAATAAGCCTCTCTGCCAGTGAAACAGTCAAGGAAAAGGCCAGGCACACAAACTCCCCCATTGCCCAGGGACAGCCATTGATAAGCAAACCCCTTGGGAAAATGAAGCAGAATTTGAAAATGAGCACTTTACTGTGTTCTTAATTTTCCTTATGTGTATGTCATCAAGAATTCTTTAGAAAACGAACAAGAGCCCCAGGTTTCCCATGCCGGTAGCCTGAATCCAGGGCTGGGCTGGGTGGTGAGCATGGGGAGGTGTAACAGAAACTGCACCCCCTAGGCTACATTTCCTGTGGAGGCATCCACCGCCTGGCAAGAGCCATGCAGTTTTCCCATTTGGTTCCTATGAATGGTAAAAGAGAGGAACTAAGTCTGCTGAAAGGGACTTTCTGGATCATTCAGAAAGTCCAAGCAGAGCAGGTTTTTGGCAAGAAGCAAACAGCAGGAAAGAAAATCCCCTTAATTCCCAAACTGCCTTCTATTTCCCACATTTTCAATAGCCCCTTCTAAGGGCATAACAGAGGAAGGCCACAGATCAGTTTTTGCAAGTTGAGCATCAAGATCAAAAGAGTGGAGAGGGGGATGTGTAAAGAGGAGAGAACTGGGGACCCATGGTCTCAAAGAAGACTCATGATTAATTTTTTTAATATGGAATGCTTTACATGTGTGTGTGTCACCCCTGCGCAGAGGCCATGCTAATCTCTGTATCGTTCCAACTGTGTATATGATCATTCATGAACATGAAACGCCCTTAACAGTTCTCAAGTAGACATGGTACCAAAAGGCTGTCAACATCACAAGCTTTTCGCAGAGTAACAGTTCCCCCCTGGCGATAGAGAACTATTTCTTTTGTCTATTTTGCTTGGCCTCCAGCTTCATGGGCAGTATTCTCAACAGCATTTCAGAAAAACAAAAATGATCAAGAGTCCATTAAATCAGAGGTTTTTGGCTGCATGTTACAATCACCTGGGGGACTTTCTAAAAATCTCAATAAACAGATGCACCCCCAGACCTCCTAAATTAAAATCTCTGGGGTGGGACCCAAACAGCAATAATTTTTAAAGCTCCCAAGGGATTAAATGTGCAGCCTCGTTTGACCAACAGTGCTTTAAATTACGACCCACCCATTCTCCCTCTTCCTGACATCGCCTGCGTCCTCACTGCTAACACTGATCTTCTCAGGGTGCTCGATGAAGGGCAGGACAGACGCCGAAAACTTTTCTTTTCTTTTTCTTTTTCTTTTTTTTTTTAAGATTTTATTTATTTATTTGAGAGAGAGAGAATGAGAGAGCACAAGAGGGGGGAGGGTCAAAGGGAGGAGCAGACTCCCTGCTAAGCAGGGAGCCCGATGTGGGACTCGATCCTGGGACTCTAGGATCATGACCTGAGCCAAAAGCAGTCGCTTAACCGACTGAGCCACCCAGGCGCCCTAGATGCCGAAAACTTTTCAACTGGCAGGGGATGTGTCACCACATCCCTCCCAGGGCTCGACTCAGAGTTCCTATTAATAGACAGAGGAGGAACATTCCTACCTTTATAAATGGAGATGAGAAGCTGGGGGGCGGGGGGTGCCTGTCTGTCTCAACAGAGCCTTGAAGCCTGGGTAGATCTCCCGGTTCCTGTGTGAGACAGTCCATCCAGCAGGCCCAGGTGGCCCCAGGCCCCAATCACCAGACCCCACTAGGAAGGGAAGGATATCGGTTCTGTAGGAGCCAGGCCACCCCCAGGGTGTAGTATAGCATGATCAGGGCTTCCAGGATTTCCTTCTTCTCTTTGTTTGAGGTCCTGCTTCCCTTCCAGGTCAGCAGCGTGTTCTTGGCAGACTCAGCATGTTTCTTGGCCTGAGCCGGGAGGCCTGGGGAGGTTTGAGGGTGGGTGGCAAGATGAAAAATATTAAAGAGTCATGTTGCAGTCGAAGACATTTCTGGGAGGAAATAGGTGGATCGTGTGGTTGTCATATGGTCTATAGTATTAGTTTCCAGAGCTGGCAGCGCATCAGAATTATCTGGAATGCTTGTAGAGAATATAGATTCCTGGGTCCCACCCCAGCCCTACTGAGTTGGAATCTCCAGAGAAAGGGAGTCCAGGAATCTATATTTTTAATTAATTCCACAAGTGCTGCTTACACAGCCATCACAGCATTAATCTGGGGGCCTCTGTCTGGAAATCATTGATAGAGACAGGAGTAGAAGCTGAGTATCCTGTTGCCAAATCTGCCGCCAATGCCGTGTGACCTTTTCAACCCACAAAGCTTCTCCATCCTCTAAATGTAAAATGACAATGATTATAGAAGCTGCCCCTTTACCAAATACCTGGAGATTGTCCAGGAACAAACGAGGTTATGCCACAGAGTGCTATGCTTTGAGCTTTCTGGAAAAGGCATTCTAAAAATACAAGGGCTTATGAATACAATTACTTCCATCTGGGGATTTTTTTTTTCAATCCAAGATGAGGCTGGTTATACTAATTGGTCACACACACACACACACACACACACACACAGGCACAGGCACAGAATCCAATTCCTAAATGCAGTGAGGCGCCTCACTAAGAAGACAAAGGGAATACCAAACTCCAGCCAGAAAGAACTTGCAGTATGTTTCTCCTTGTTTTCTAACTCAAGGCTGGAGTTCCTGGACACCCACTGGAACTGCTATTTGTCCAGTTAGTTAACAGAGGTAGACTTGGCAACATTCAATTTCTAGACCTCGTGTTTCATCTTCCAACCTAGCTCATATCTAGGGATCCCTGATGGGACAAGAGAAACCCTGGGGAAAAAAGAGAAAGGTCAGCAGAGAGCTCCTTATCCTAGGAGTTCTCCACTCTACTGGAGACTGCCATGGCTGGTGTTCCGGTTCAGCTCTCCTCTCTGCAGGTGGGTAAACATATTCACTCCTGTCAGGTAGACCCGCTGTGCCCTTAATTCTCACTTCACACTCCCAGCCCTCAGTCTGCTCCACTTTTGGCCTTTGGAACCTGGCTTCTCAGTTCAGGTATAGTCAGTGGCCATAAAGATGACTTGAAGACTTGAGGCCTGCAGCTCTCCTATATTCCAGATGTGCAGGACCTCCTTAATGAGCTGCCACAAGGGCGGGCGTGTGGGGGGAAGGTGGAGGGGAGAACAGAGCTTCTCTGGGAGAGGCCTACAAGTGACCTGGGAGCCAGGAAATCCTCGTAGAATACTCAGAGATGCCTGTCCATAGGTCTCAACTCAAGAGAAAAATGGGGGTCTGTGGCAAAAGAGAGGGCTGTGTCCCAAGTTACCAGGTAACAGCACCCTCAGACTGCACTGTGTACCGTAAACACCCTTCTAAAATGCAGATTCCTTGGCCTTGCTTCCAGGAGTTGTGGTTCATGGGTTCTAAGGTGAGAATGGAGGATTCACATTTATAACAACCATCCTAGGTGATAATCTGATGCAAGCTGTCTAAGGACGACACTTGGAGAAGCATTTAGTAAAATCTTTATACAAGACGTAGGCTCATCTTATTTTTGAAGAGTAGGTAGTTTGACTGATACAGAAGGATGAGGAGGGGTTTCCATTTGGGGAAAATAGCCTGAGGCCATAAAGACAGAATAAGCAAAAACTGCAGTTTTTGCTTATTCTGTGACACACACACACACACACACACACACACACACACACACACTGGTGGGATGGGGTAGGGGTATGTAGGAGTGTCAAGGCAGTAAGGAGACCAGCCTGACTGAAGGGGAGGTTTAATGTAAAGATACATAAGGTATGAATTGGATAAGTAAAATGGAGTCTTGGGGGCACCTGGGTGGCTCAGTCGGTTAAGCGTCTGCCTTCGGCTCGGGTCATGATCTCGGGGTCCCGGGATCAAGCCCTGTGCAGGGCTCCTTGCTCAGTGGGCAGTCGGCTCTCCCTCTCCTTCTGCCCCGCCCCCTCCCCCCCACTGGCTCATGCTCTCTCTGTCTCTCAAATGAATAAATAAAATCTTTAAAAATAAAATAAAATGGAGTCTCGGATGCCAAGTGAGGAGGTTGGATTTGATCTGTTAGGTAATGGGGAGTCTTTATAGGTCTTGAGGAAGGGAGCAGCAACTGAAAAGTCTGCCAAGGACATCAGACCAAGAAAATAAGACAGGAAACTGAGAAAGTCTTTTTATCACATAGGCTGATTCCCACAACCAGGTGGGCCCTTGGGAGTGTGTCAGTAAGAAGTGCAGGAATCTAATCTAGATGCTTCCCTTGGTCTATAGGAAGGAAAAAAGTGAATCTGGCTGAGCCACTGAAAACCACCCCTGAATCAGCCACAATGCTGCTTCTGGGCTCCTGAATGGAAAACAAATGAGAAAGCTGTCCTGAGGCTTTGCCAGTCTGCCCTGCCACCTCCGCCTCACCAAGTGCCCAGTGCTGGGCTGTGAAACCCCCAGAGGAACACTAATAACACTAATAATAATTCATAATAAATACACATATATGCAGTTTGCTCAAATTTTCTGAAGTGATAAGGGAGCTAATTCTCAAGGGTTTAGAGATCACTGCTCTAAACAAGGTTTTCCAACCTTTTCAAGTAGGAAAGAGCTCTTTTTATGACCCCTCACTTTGTGATATTTTTATGGCACTTCCTACATGAGAAAATTCATGATGACAGAAAGTACTATGAATCAGTATCAGTAATAATTTGAAATAGATTTGCACTGTATTAATTTCAAGAACACCCTCTCTCATGTAAAGAGAACATGGCATATATGTACATATACGAGTCTCACGTTAACGGTCTCTGGAGGAGGCTCGTAGAGCTGTGATCTCGTTCCCTAACTCCAAGCCCCACCTCCCCAGCTCCAGTGTCAACTCAGAGCCCAAGTCATTTTCCTTTATTTGCCCTTCGCCCAAGCCAAGGACACCATCCTTCTCCCTGCGCCAACAGTGCAGCAATCACAGAGGCAAAAATCAGACCTACTCCTGGAGCCTGAGATTCAGAAATTACAGGCAACTACTGATGAACTAGAAACTGGGCCCCGGTATTGTCCAGGAAAACATATCAAATCATTTTGCTTTAGTTTGGGATGTGATTCCACCACTGTACCCTGACTCAGGCCGGAGAGAATCTGCTCGGAGATACCCAGTCTTCGCAGTTGCTGCTGTCACCTTTGATCAACTCTATTTAACAAGTTCGCGTGGACAGCGATTACGAGCAGGGCCTCGAGCCAGACTTCCCAGATACCGATCTTGCCTTAGCCCTTTCCTACCTGTGGCCTTGAGCAAGTTACTTCATCTATCTGTGCCACGGTTTATTCACCTGTAAAGCGGTAATGAAAATACTTTCTACCCTGTAGTGTTGTAGTAAGGATTGACTTAATTAATTTGTGAAAAAGCAACTAGTGCCTGGCACATAGGAATGAAATGAGTGAATAAATATTAGCCATCATCATCATCATCATCATCATCATCATCGTTATTTTACTACTGCTACTACTACCACCAGGGGCCATTCTCCTAAGCAATTTATTATATTTGTCCTTACTCTGGACCTTTGCCATAGAGCTGCTTACAGAATCTCTGCAAAAGGCTGCATTCTCAAATGCAACGTCATTGCTGGCAGGCATTAATGGTTTCCTGCAGGTCGGCTCACCCGGTTCTTATCATTCCCTGTTATTTCTGTACAGTTTTGGTTTTTTCAACCAACGGGACAGGGAAGGTAGGATTCATGACTTATGCTTCTTTTTTCTGTATTTTGCAACACTTATAATAGAGCCTGGGATCCCTAGAAAGTTCCCAGTAATAACAGGCTGACTCATTTATTGCTTCATTAATAATAGGCAATAAATCAGGAAACATGTCACTATATTCTCCTTCCTGGACTCTTGGACAGCAGTCCGGCAGTAGGTGACAAAGCACCTGTTGTTGGGTGGCTTTCCTCGCTCAGCCGCTGAAGCACTGGGCTCATTCGGGCCACCATCACCGAGTCCCACTTCCCGTCCCTTCCTCTAGTTTGCCAAGCGGCAACCTTTACACACTGCTTTGCAAAGGCCCCATGTTCTCTTGTGTTATTGACTCCTGAACCCTGTTTCATCAATTGCTCTATTTCTTAAAACCTCCAAACTCTCTCTCAAAAGGGCTCCTTCCTCACTGCCTAAGCTCTGTCTCAGTCTCCTTCTCTTCTAAAATTATCTTCACGTGACTTTTCTACCTTCGCCAGTGACCCTCTTTTCCCTCATTCCTTTCAATACGTAGTAAGTAGCCCACGAAGTCTGGCCTCCTCCCCTGCTCCCTTCCTTCACGCCTGGGATCCAGCTTCTGCTCCAACTGCCCTGCACAAACTCTTCTGCTGAGGCCCCCAAAGATCTCCTACTAAATAAATCCAGTCACGGTTTCTCAGTCAGACGCTCTTAGCTGCTTGGCTTCTCTTCTTGGCCCTGAGGACACTGCACCTACTCAGTTCTCCTTTATAAACCTTCTCTCATTGCTTCTTTGCTACCTCTTTCCAAGGGTCCTTTGTTCCCTTCTCCAAGGGTCTTTCAGTTTCTTCCTTTTCTTCTCTCTCTCCCTCTCAGAAGTTCTAACAATCCCTAGTACGTCCACCTTGGCCTCCATGCTTATAATTTCCCATTTCCCCTCCCCAGTTCTGCTCTTAAATATTCCTCCGTGCATACGATACTCCTCCTGTCCTCCCAAGTTCTAGTCCCAAATTTCCAAGCACCAAGTGAAAATGTGCTTGTGGATTTCTCTATTGCAATTCAAAATCACCAAAACCTGGACCCACCATTCCTCTCCCCAGTGCGCTCCCCTTCCTGCCCAGTGTTTCTATGGCGCCCGCAGGGGTCTGACCTTCAAGGTCATTGTTGGGCCTCACTTTTCTTCAACCCCAAATTGAACATCAGGTCCTGC